GGCGACCCCCCGGCTCCGGGCGAGTTCGGGGTCTGGAAGGTCGAGTGGAGCCTGGTCAACAGCTCGGGCTCATCGCCCTTCCCCGAGGCCTGGGCGGCGCCCAGCGGGTAGGCCTCCCGGGCGCGGCCGGGGCCCGCGCAGCTGAGGAAGGCCAGGCAGGCCCCCCGGAGGCGGCCCAGGTCCCGGTGCGTGGACTCGCTGACGAAGCAGTACAGCACGGGGTCGGCCACGCAGTTGAAGCTGGTGAGGAGCAGCGAGAAGTGGTAGGCGTTGAAGACGGCCTTGGCGAACTGGCAGCTGGCCTCCCAGAGGCTGCGCACGAGCAGCAGAGCGTGGTAGGGCAGGAAGCAGGCCAGGAAGATGACCACGGTGCTGAGCACCAGCCGCTGGATCTGGTCCTTGCGGCTCTTCTGGGTGCCGTGGCTGCGGCACACGGCGCGCAGGATGCCCCGGTAGGAGGCCAGCAGCAGGCAGAGGGGGAAGAGGAAGCCCACGAGGAAGCGGTAGTAGTTGATGCCCCGCTGCCATGGCTCCAGGGGGTAGTGCTCGAAGCAGACGCGGTGCCGGTCCTCGTCCTCCACCACCTCCTTGTGCGTGAGGAAGTAGACGCTGCTCAGCAGCTCCTTGGCCCAGATGAGCGCGCTGACGCCCACGGCCGCCTTGAGCGTGCGGAACTGGTGGAAGCGGAAGGGGTGGGCCACGGCCAGGTAGCGGTCGATGGAGATGCAGCAGAGGAAGCCCACGCTGATGTAGATGTTCTCGTAGAGGAGGATGCCGCACACCTGGCAGGACAGGTCCCCGTGCGACCAGTGGTCATGCTGCAGCACGTACTGCAGCCAGAAGGGCAGCGAGCAGATGTAGAAGAGGTCGGCCAAGGTCAGGTTGCACAGGTACACGCCCAGCTCGTTCCGGGCCTTGATCTGCAGGTAGCCGAAGTAGAGGGACAGGCAGTTGGCCGGGAAGCCCACCACCAGCACCACGACGTAGACCACCGGGGCCAGAGTCTGGTGGATGGTGTGGTCAATGGCGCACAGCGAACTGTTCTCCGCAGTGACGTTCCCCATCTCTGGGCCTCAGGGCGCCGGGCGCCTCGCCCCTCACCGGCTCAGGGACCGGGCCGGTCTCTCTACAGCCATCTTGTTCGCCGGCTGTGGCTCAAGCTGCATCAAAAGCTGGGCCTCCCCGGTGGCGGGTAAGCCCCTGAAAGGTAAAGGCAGGAAGGGCTTAGGATGACAGCAGCTGACGTTTATGTAGCCCTGCTGGGTGTTAGGTACCGTTCTAAGCGCCTCACGCAATGGAGACGACTGGACCAACCTCAACTCAACTCGACTATCTAGTTGGCTACCTTGGTCACGCACCAAGACACTCAATGGTGGTTTGTGCCTCCCTATCCCCGCTCCCTGGCTTCCTATCCCTTATTTATTTTCCTGGTCTCTCAGGGCAGCAAGGAAGGCTAGGAGCTCTCGTGAGCACAGACTCATCCCGAGCCCCGCTCTCCAAGGGCCGCTCAAGGTAAAGACCAATTCCAACCCGCACACAACAGCAAGGGCCCCGGCCCCTCTCCCTACGACAGCACTATGCATCATTCACAGTTTTCCTACTTGCTCCCAAGAATGTACCAGGTCAGTTAGCCCTGAGGCCACAGCCCCTTCTGGGGGCCTTTCCAGCCAGCCCGGAAGGGACCCAACCTTGCCTCGTCCTATTGTGCTCTGGTGGAGAACAAAGAGCATGCTTCCCACGGGGCACTGCCTGGATTCCTGGGTGCTCATCAGGAGGTGCTACCTCACCCCCTCTCCGTGGAGTCGAGGACCCAGCGCAGGGAACAACACAAGGAACCAACAGAAATGAGTGCCAGGCCAGGGTCAGCCGCTTACAGGCTGTGCGAGCGATTCCCCGTCTCTGAGTGTCAGTGTCCTCATCTGTAATGTGGGCACAGAAACACCTGTCCTCGGGTCAGCATCAGGGCCACGTAAAATGACAGATGCCAAAATCCACGGCATTGTTTCACCAGAGGCAAAGAGGCAGAGTAAAATATGGCAAGTCTTGGGGCGCCTGGGTGGCTCAGTTGTTAGGCGTCTGCCTTCGGCTCAGGTCATGATCCCAGGGTCCTGGGATCGAGCCCCACATCAGGCTCCCTGCTCAGCGGGAAGCCTGCTTCTCCCTCTCCCACTCCCCCTGCTTGTGTTCCCTCTCTCGCTGTGTCTCTCTCTGTCAAATAAATAAATAAAATCTTTAAAAAAAAAAAATATGGCAAGTCTTAACATTGGTGGAAAGCTCATATTGCTGAGAATTTAACAACAACAAAAAAATGCTACTTCTATGTGTACAAATACATTTGAACAAGAGAACAAAGATTTCTCTTGTGAGCCCACTTTATAAATTAATATATCGAAACGAAAGGTCTGAGCTACTCTACTGATTGAACGCTTCTGGCCCCACTGAAAAATCTCACTGTTTCTAAATCAGGACTGCTAATTTTTTGTTTGTGTAAGAATCATCCTCCCAGAGAGCCTCATTAGCCACTTTTTTCCCCTGACCGCCCCCTTTCTGTGAAATTTTAATACCCCAAATATATTGCACATCTGTTTGCGCACTGTGACCCTTGGAAGGGTGACAAATCATTGTAATAGCTAAGGTTTTTTTTTCACCCCACCCAAGAACCAATTTCACCCCCCGCCTCGAGCAGGTACAGTCCACAGGGTTGCAAATTCTGAATGAGTGAGGAGGTTTGAATTAAGCTGTTTTGAAGTATCAGCAGATCCACCCTGCCCCTTGCATTGTCTCTCCACCATAGTCAAGCTGCGACTCAGGGACCCAGAAGGGAGACCCCTCAGAGTATGCCGGGCAGCCACCTCAGTACCTGCTGACCACGGCCCCTCCCTCCGCCGCCTCACCCCTGCAGCTCTCTTGTGGCTCTTGCCTGGCCCCGTGGCCCCTGGAGCCAGGGCTCAGCCTGGAAGTGGGTGCAGCGTGCAGGGAAGGGGCTCAGAGACACCCAGCCCAGCAGTTCCAGTCCTGGGGTGCAGGGAGGGTAAACTTGAGAGATGCCCCTGCAACCCCCTGCTCAATCTTGTAAATAAGTAAGTATGGGCATTCTTCCTGGGGAAGGACCCTGTAGCTTTCATAAGGGTCTCTAGACGGGCAAGAGATGGTTCTACCAAAGCTACCCTCCTCACATAGTTCCCTCCCCCACCCCAGCTCTCCCATTCGTCCCCCGCCAATGACCCACATGGAAGCCACAGCCCTCTTTCTAGAATATAACCAGGTCCTCTTCTTCCTTGCTTAAAAGCCACTGAGATGGCTTCTTATCGCACCTACAGTAAAACCCAAACTCCTGATAGGACCTACAAGGCCCAGCGTGATCTGGCCCCGCCCAGCTCCCTCGGCCTCGCCCACCACCACCATGCGTTAGCCATAAAACCCAGCTGTCTGCGGCTCAGGCCTCGGCTACATAAGCCGTTGTCTCTCGGGAGAGCTGTCCCCTGCACACACACACCACCCCCCCGCAACCTCCACCTCCACAGCAGGGCTGGCTCCTTTTCTGCAAGATCTCAGCTGACCACCCCACATAAGTAGCCCCCTCCCCGGCCACCCTCACACCTCCTGCTTGACTGCTCCTCAGAGCCCCCAGCAGCATCCGAGATTGCTCTTGTCGGTTAACTTGACTGCGGCTGCTGATCTGTCTCCTCCACGGGGATGTGAATTCCAAGAGGCCAGAGGCCAGGTGCACCTTGAACTGTGCCTGGCACTTCAGAGGCTCTCATAAACACTTCTGGAAGGAATAAGTGAATGCCACCGCCCCATTTCACAGGTGGGGAAACCAAGGTCGCCCGAAGCCGGACTGAGGAAGGAAGCCTGGGTCTCCCTGCTGCATGTCCCACCTCCCTGCCTCCTGACAGCCATCCCCAGCTGAGGCTCGCTCCCAAACTCTCAGTCTCCAGAAGATGAGGATGCCTGGTCGGGCTCAGCTCTCCATCCTACACAAGCCTGGAATCTCAGTGATGGTGGTGGAGGGGAGTGCTTCTTGGTGTTTTTAATGGTGGTTACATATATATATATAACATACAATTTACCATGGAAAGCATTTTAAAATGTACAGTTGATTAGTCACACTGTCATGCAATCAGCACCACCATCTGTCTCCAGAACTTTTTCATCGTCCCAAACTGAAACTCTGTCCCCATGAAACACTAACTGAGCTCCCCATCCCCCTCTGCCCCCCGCCCGAGGCCCTGGCACCCACCATTCTACTCTCTGTTCCTGTGAATGTGACTATTCTAGGGCCCTCGTCTAAGAGAAATCGTTCAGGGTTTGTCTTTTGGCGACTGGCTTATTTCACTTAGCAAAATGTCCCCGAGATTCATTCATGCTGTAGCATATTGCAGAATTGCCTTCCTTTTTAAGGCTGAATAATATTCTGTTGTATGTATTTACTATATTTGGTTTTCCCATTCATTTGTCAGTGAACACTTGCTTCTGCCCTACCCGTCGGCTTTTGGGAATAATGCTGCTATGAACATGGGTGTGCGGTTATCTATTCACGTCCCTGCTTTCAGCTCTTCTGGGTAGATACCCAGAAGTGGAATTACTGGATCAGATGGTAGTTCTATTTTTAATTTTTTGAGGAACTGCCACTCTGTTTTCCACAGCAGCTGCACCATTTTACATGCCCACCAGTGGTGCACAAGGGCATTTTCTTGTTTTTCGTTTTTTGGGTTTTTTTTGCTTTTTGTGTGTTTTGGTTCTGCTTATATGTTTTGATGGTGAGAAGAAGGGGAAAGGGGCAGCTGAGGCCTGTGACCCCGAAACTCTGCCCCGTGTGTCAAACTGTGGCTCCGTTCACCTTCCTCTTGCCAGCCCCCCTCTCCCCGAATCCCAAGCCCACACCTGCGGGGCCAGACGGTTTGGCTGGCTTCCATATGAGAAGCGGACAGCAGTCCAGGGCCCCGAGCCGTCCCCAGGAGCACTCACCCAGGGCGAATGAAGCCATAGCGAAAAACACGTGCTGTCAGGTCTTAGGAATTCACTGAGAGTCACCAGGCTGAAGCCTATTGTTTACTGGCCGTGAGTGTGTATCTGTGTGGGGGGCAGGGGTGTGGGGGACGGGGCAGTGCTGGGGCAACAGCGTGTCCCTTCCTCTTTCCTAGGCCAACAATAATCGAAATTTGGCAACCAGAGTCAAAAATACTCAAGCCTGCAGGGCAAAAAAGAGACATTTACTATGTTTAGATTAAAGCACTTCCTACGTTCCCTTGTAGAAAAAGGGTGTTTTAAGAGCCGTGGTTTTCAATTTAGGTGCATTAGAGTGCTCTGGAAGATTTGTTTAAAACAGATTATTGAGCCTCACCTTCAGTGTTTCTAAGTCAGTGGGTCTGAGGTGGGGCTTGGGAATGTCCAGCGTGTTCCTAAGGTGATGTTGGTGCAGCGGACCCACGAAGCACACTCCTGTGTAGCCAGGCGCTCAAACGTCTGGAACGTCTGGGATTTGGCTCCTGATAAGTGGCAGGATAAGCACCCAGATAACACGAGTTCCCAAGCTGGGGAGCAGAGGTGGCTGGAAGGGAAATTTAGGACCCAGCAGGACCTCGTGGGCAGAACCAGGATACAGCCCATGCAAGGTCAATAGCCTGATTCAATCTCTCGACAAACAGTGACTGGATCTGTCGGGGTACTTACACCTCGTATTTGCAAAATCTTTTACAGTTTGCAGAGCATTTCATATCTGCTCTCCCCCATCTTCACAAAGGCCCTGTTATTTCCCCCATTTGAGGGATGAGGCAACTGAGGCCCAGAGAGATGGAGTGGCTTGCCCAAGAGTCCAGTTCCTCTGCATTTCTCCCACCCTCAGGGAACCTCCAATCTCATAGGCATAACTTACTCTTACCCGGGGGCAGTGTATGGTGGTGCTGTGAGCATCCCTCACACTCACATTTAATGTTGGTTTGTTCTTTTCACACCACACACATCCTCTGGGGGACAGCATCCCTCTCTGATTTCAACCCCATCTGCACTCTACGACTCCTAGAGCTCCCACCAGGTGGACGGTGGACAAAACCAGCGTCCCGCTGCCTCACCGGACATGGTCAGTCAGGCCCACCCCACTTCCCTCATTTCTGCATGAATCTGCTCTTGGAAGGGTCATCTCTACCTGCCCAGTTAAAGGGCCTTCAGCTTCTTTCCTCATCTTCATCCAAAGCATCCAGTTAATTACCCAGTTCTACCATTTTCAGCTCCTAAATATTTCCCACATCAGTCTGTTCCTCTTCAGTTTCCTCACCAGTGCTCTAGACTGGCTTGGTCAAGGCTTCATCCCCAGAATCAGTGCAATGGCTTCCTATTGGATTTCTTGGCTCCATCTTACCACCCTTAAGGCCATCCTCTAAAATGCAAATCTAACATAATCATTCCTACTTCAAATCCTTCAATGGCCCTCCAATCTTTCATCCATCCATCCATCCATCCATCCATCCATCCATCCATCCATCCATTCATTTATCCATTCACACAACAGATACTTATTGAGTATCTATTGTATGGAAGCCACTGCGCTAGACACTGTCACTTAGTGTAACTCAAGGTGCATTTACTCTCATGGGACAGTGAAGAAGACAGGTGAAACCAGCTCCTAAAGAGAGCACAGGATTTTAAGGGAGTTCATAGGAGGTAACCCGACCCAGCCCAAAAAGCCTTCCTGAGCAGCAAGTTAGGCTAAGACAGAAGAAGGGGGAAGGGCTGCCCAAGCAGAGGGGAGTTTCTGTCTGTGAAAACAATGTGTGCAACAGGCCAACTATGAGGGATAATGGGCACTTTTGGGGAACTGAGAGTAGCCTGGCATGACAGGGTCTAGGTATGAGGAAGCATGGCCAGAGGGGAGACAAGAAGCTGTAGCAACTGACAACTAATGAGAAGGGAGATGGACAAATCTGAGTCAGGGGCAAATCTGAGATGTTCCTCAGTGCTTGGTCCTTGTAAGCTCTCAAAAATTACTTGGTAGGTGGGTGGAGAGGTGGTGAGGTAGGTGGGTGGGTGGGTGGATAGGTGAATGGGTGGATAGATGGGGGGCAGGTGGATGAATAAATGAATGCATGAAGGTAGATGGATAGATGAGTAAGTGAATGGGTAGAGAGATGGATGGATGGGTGGATGCATGGGTAGCTGAATGTGTAAACAGCTAGATGGGCGAGGGGTAGACAGATAGACGGATGGGTTAATGGGTAGAGAAATGGATGAATGGGTGACTGGATAGGTAGATGGGTTTGAGGTTGGGTGCTGGGACAGTGGGGATGTCATTAATAGAAACAGAAAAGTAAGAAGGAAGATTTACTCTAGCCTCCACTCCAGCAGCCGAGCATCTGCTCAAGCCTCCAGAGCTGGTCAGAGGCTCCAGCTTTTTCTCCTAGGTCTAATCCCAGCCAGCCTCCCCTACTGGTTCCTGAGGACACACGTACCCCCAGATGGAAACTACACCCTGACCAGGAGTGTCCTTTCTGTACCTGGTCTCCATAGGAAACTTGCTCCTCAAAAATCAAGGGACACAGTGGATGCAAAAGTGATCTGTAAATGGAAAAACGTAGACAGAGTGGCAGAACCAAGCCAAATCAGCGGAGAGCCCTCCACCTACCAGGAATGTTTCCGTACATTCACTCTCTTTCAACACCACTCTTATCTGGGCTCACTTTACAGACGAAAAAACTGAGGGTTGGAGAGATGAACCAACCTGCTCAAGATTCCACAGTCACGATGTGGCAGGCCAGGTTTTGAAGTCAGATCGGCCCACACTTTCTTCTGCATCACATTCTCTTTCTGTCCGTCATGATTATCACTGAGCAACCACCCTCTACCTCCAGGCTTCACTGAGCCCCAGTCCTCGGATGCCACCACGAGGGCCCCCAGGCTGAGTCCTGGGCTGGTCCCCTGCACCTGGCAGGTGCTCTACCAGGTCAACTGTTTCCTCAACACCCACTGAGGAAAACCCAAGGTGCGCCCAGTCCGTGGTTGCCCAAGGGGTGGGGATCGGGACAAAGAACAAACTTGGGGACCCCCTGCGTCTGCCTCAAACACTTCATCATCCAGCTAAGAAACCCAGAGACTACACAAAACAACCCAACACCTAAAAGCAAATCTTTACACAAATGTCCAACAGCACGGAGGTCTCCGAGGACTTTAACGACCATGAGAAACTAGCCCTCTTTGGGAGGAAGGAAGGAAGCGCCTCTTTGACGCAAGCTGAGAGTCTCCTGCACATTCCCAGCCAGAAGGCGGAGGTGCCTGATGCTGGCATTGAGCTGGTGCATAACAGTGATCTAATCTTCGAGTCCCTTCCGTGTGCTGCACTCAGGCACGCACACAGACAGTTACTCACGGAGCCCCGAGCCCACAGAGCGGGGAGTTTCCGGCAGGCCCAGCTTCCCTTCCCTTCAGCGGTTAAACCTCTGCATGCTCTCAGAGGCTGACATTTCCCTCTGGGACACAAGTAGAAATCAGGCTGCAGCCTGCCTTGGTCCCATCTGGCTCCCAACTATCCTCACTCCAGCACCAACAACAAGGAGACAATATCATTTCTAAAGCCCTTGCAACTGTTTCGAAGTTCAGTCCCATGGGGGAGCTGGGGGGGCCTCGGGGCTCAGGCTGTCCCTCTGAGGCAGCTGGGCTGGCACGGCTATCCCCTTTCACAGAACCTGAAGCCCAGAGAGCCTAAGCCAGTGGCTCAAGTTCATACAGTAAGTCAGGTGGATCTGAATCCAGAACCCGGCATCATGGCACGAATTTGCTGCCTTTTAAGCTCTTTCGACCACAAGCCACAGCAAGAACACACGACATTGTAACCAAGCACGCACAGACATTATACACACGCATGCATGCACAGTGAGAAACAAACTTCCCCAAAGCAATACTTACCCTAGGACTTGCACTCTGATCATTTCTACTTGGTTTTCAAAATGCAGCTCGTTAGCTACTAAATTGATTTCTTGACCCACTAATGAGTCACCATCCTCCGTTTGGAAGCAGCGGACTGATCCCCCGCCTTGCTCAGCCTCCAGACCCCAAGAAGGTGATGACGGTCTCTGCCGCCAGGTGAGGAGCAGGCAGGGAGTAAGCGGCAGCAAAGGGGGAATCTGGGTCTTCTCTGACTGTCCACCTGGCTGAGCTGTGCCCTCAAACCTCAAATAGCCCGGGCTTCCTCCAGACGCTCTGCAGAGGCCTGGGGGAGGAGACTGGACTCACCTTGCCGGGCCTGGGGGACGCCCCAGGCAGGCCACCCTGCAGCCAGGACCCGCGCTTCCCCTCCGGAGATTTTCCACAGACCACACCTCCCAGCTCGGTCTAGAAAATCCCAGCAGGAGGCTGCCCATTCCTGAGCTGAGGCAGAATCATGTGAACTCCGATCTGGTATCAGGCTGGGCGGTTGCCGAGGAACACTCCCCAGCCAAGGATGAGAGTGGGGTGGGGGGACGGCTCCCTCCACACATCCTCCGAACGCTAGCCCCACACCCCAGGGGGGCAGGGAGAAACCTCACCAGGACTGTTCAAGCCTGAGTTAGGGGCAGGGGGCCTGGGGAGTCAGGGGGGGCTGCGGGGGGAGCCGAGTGCACTAAGTCTACCCATCAAACCACCCTGAGCACCTACAGAAGACCAGGAGAGGGGGTGCAGGAGGTTGAACCCCTGCCCCAGGGGTCCTTGCTTGAGCCATTCAGACAGGCCAGTGCTCCAGCAACTAGAATATACTGCGTACACCGACCAGCAAGGACAACGGGATAACAGGCAAGGAGTGGGGAGGATGGCTATTTCCATGCCCATCCCCGGGCTGTCACCCTTCGGTGGCTCACAAGCGACATCTGGGTCAGTGGGTCACACCTCACCTAAGAAAACACTTGGGGAGCTTATAAAAAAGAACGCCAATGCCCATGCCCTACCTCAGATGGATGAAATCATCCTTTCTGGAGGGGAGGTGCGAGCCCCAGGGTTTTAAAGGTCTCTGGACAACTCCAGCGGGCAGCCAGCTGCAGCAGTGCCGATGGGGTGGAAGCACGTTGGGTCCTGTTTTGCGGACCAACAAAGCCAGGGCAACAGAGGAAGGTTCTGGGCTATGAATAAGGCAAACAGCAGTGTTTTAAAGTAGCCTGGCCCCGAGCGGGCAGCCAGCACTGGGCTCTGGCTTCATGGGGTCTTCTGTCTCTCAGGGGCATTTACTAAACTTCCTCAGTGCCGCAGGACTGAAAGAAGCCCTGGAGGTTACCCAGCTCAGCCCCCTCAGTTTACAAATGGGGAAACTCAGGCACACAGAGGCCAAGGGTCTAGACCGGGGCCCCACAGCTAAGTGAGAGAGCGGCGATTCTCAGAACGTGCTGCTGACTGCAGGTGCCATGCTCTGTTGGCAGAGCCTCCTCCCTTTGACGTGATCACCTTGGAAGGGGCTCATAGGATGCGTTGCTGGAGCCAGAAAGCCAACGTCCACTGTGCTTGGGGGTCACTGAGAAAGTGCAGTCTCTCTGCCCCATTGGGTGATCTGTGGGACTCATCCTCTCCTGAGGATGAATCACTATTATAGTCTTTTGGGGGAACTATATTGGTAGGGGTGTCAGAAGAAAATCCCCTCCTGTGGGGTCTGGGCCCTCCAAGCAAAAGTTTCTATGTCAGCTGCTGCAAAAGTCTGCATCTCGTGATGGAGCGGTAGTGCAGGTTTAGACCCAGATGTTTCTCCCGAGCCGCAGAAGCGTGGCTGGTCTTCCCTCATGTCACAGGAAGGAGCGGGTGGGTGAGGAGTGCACGGTCAACTTAGTAGTGAATGCCTGGCTACCCGGGGGACACACAGGCCAGAGGAAAGGCTCTCTCTCTCTGGCCCAGCCTAACAGGACATAGACCCGCAGACTGTCTATACCTGCGGAAACCACGGATGGTCCTGCATCCCCTCCCCCACCCCAGAACCCTCCCCTCCCAGGAGCTGCCCCCAGGCTGCCCAGCCCCCTCTGCAGCAAATAGACACCATATCTCACCTGCAGTGGGGACTCTTCCTTTCTCCAGGGCCAGAGATCCCCTCTTCCTCCCCAGTGGGCCTTTGGGACTGCAGGTGGAGGGGTGATTCTTACTTTAGTTGAACTCAAATCAGCTGAGCCCACATCTTCTGAGACACCCACTCAGGAAGAGAAAAAGGTGCCAGGATTTTGTCCTTAACCTAAAACGGGAAAGAAGGACTAGAAACTGTGATGACACCAAGCATCGGGCAGTGGCCTAAGGGGTCCTGGGGACCCCATCACTTCGACTCCCCCAAACCTCACTCAATAAACCTACA